TCAAATTTTTAATATCTTTCAATAGCGGTAACTCTGAAAAATCATCGTATTGAGATGAACCTTAGCTCAAAATAAAGCTTGAACATTCCTTTTGATAACTAAGAAAATCAAAATTGAGTTCCAAAAATGCTTTATAAAATGGCGAACGTTAAAATCAGGCTTAAAAAAATAGGAAAAAAATTTTTTCTTCAAACTATTGCGCTGGTCAGGAAAGTCGGCTGCCTGGCATAAAAATTTATAAGTTTTCAAGCTTATTGATTTCCTAACAAATCCATTCTTTAATCATTTTTTTACGATTTTTTTTGACAAAGTTATAATAATGTTTTTAAAAAAGTGTTACAAAACGGGCTATTTTTTCTTGTATCGCGACTAGAATGGACTGTCGTAAAAAAATTTTTGAAACAAACTTTTATTACTGAAGCATAGGGAGCTAGAAAATATTTCTATTTCCATGAATTAACGTTTTGAGAGTCGCTGAATACGAATCCACAGTCATAATTATAAAACAATAGCGAATCTAATATGCCGGCTAAACTCAACCAATCTTCAAATAATGCAAATTTTTTGCACAAGATTCACTAAATCATAGTTTTTTGGGTCACTAATCATGGAATTTCAGTTATTAAAGCAGGATTCGGGATATCGAATTCAATATGGCGGGTGGAATATGACCAGTGCATCTCGCAACGTTCAAGTTGGAAGATTTTTTTGGACATCAATGTATAGACATTGGTTTATTGGGTTTCTGATTACAAATTATCAATCTTTACTTAAAGTTCAAGGCTGTTGAGCCAATATGGTAGATAAAATATGAAAATAATGAAATTTGCATTATTTGAAGTTTGACTATCATATTGGATTCGCAAATTGTGAATTTTATAATTATGACTGCGGATTCGTATTCAGTGATCCCCAAAACCTTAATTTATGGAAATAGAAAAATTTTCTAGTTCCCTGTGCTTCAGTAATTAAAGTTTGTTCCAAAAATTTTTTTACGACAGTCCATTCTAATCGCGATCCTAAATCCACCATCTTGAATTTTTAAAAAGGCAGCATCAAAAAGTAGATATTTCAACAAAAATTTTAAAACCTTTTGAAGTATTTTATCTTAAAAATTGAAGTTGCAGGGAGGATGACCCGCTTGACAGAGAAGCCCCATATATATATTGTATATACAGGGTGTCCGGTAATAACCGGATAATATCTTGTGGGCTGGTAGAACAGATTAAACTGGATCGAAAAGTCCTCTACCATTTTGCAAAATTCGCAATCGTTAACGAGATATTAATTTTTGAAGATCGACGAATAAACGCATATCCGTCGAAGATTGACAAATAAGCGCGTATCCGTCCGCCATACCGCTGAATGCAGGCGCGCGGCGAGATACAACTGTCCCACCACTCGTCAACTATCGGCTAGCAACTACCAGAGGTGGGGCGGTCGTATCTCGCCGCGCGCTTGCATTCAGCGGTAGGCGGAAGATACGCGCTTATTTGTCAATCTTCAAAAATTATATCTCGTTAACGATTGCAAATTTTGCAAAATGATAGAGGACTTTTTGATCCAGTTTAATCTGCTCTACCAGCCCACGAGATATTATCCGGTTATTACCGGACACCCTGTATATATATATAATTTAAAAATTATTATGTTTAAGGAGTTACGCCACCTTTGAGGTTTTAGAACAATACCTAAAGTTTGATATTTTTTTGTGGGTAAATGGATAACTTTATTTAAAATCTGTTTAGACTACATTATTATACATAAAAATTGTAAATATTTTTAATTTTTCTTACGTCCAAAATGGCGGCGCACTGGTCTATACTTGCAAAATCCCTTTTTTTCAATCGGTGTACAAAATTCCAGGTACACGGTTTAACCTTGAACAAAAACACAAAGAATTTTCTTTATCTACATATTAAAGACTAATGAAGTACGTAGGAATTTTTTAAAATATTGATTTTTCTCAAAATGGTAGCTATTTTAAGAAAGACTTGTATTGGCGAAAAATACACATTTTTCGTAAAATAGCTGCCATTTTGAGAACATCAATATTTTAAAAAATTTCTACGTACTTCATTAATCTTTAATGTAGATAATGAAAATTCTTTGTATTTTGTTCAAGGTCAAATCGTGTGCCTGGAATCTTATACATCAATTTAAAAATACAGAAAAAAAAGGATTTCACTAGTAGGCTAGTGCGCCGCCATTTTGAACATAAAAAAATAAAAATATATTTTTTTGCTTTCTTATATATATACAATAATGTCCTCTAAATAGATTTTTAATAAAGTTATCTATTTACTCACAAAAATTCCCAAACTTAGGTATCTTTTAAGGCCTTAAAGATGGCCTAATCTTTTAAATAAAAATAATTTAAAAACAAAAGAAACTAAGTGTACGTAAGTTAGTTAAACACAAAAAATTACAATTTAAGTGATATTAATGTCTCAAGTAGTAAACTGATGTCATTTGTCATCATTTCAATGTTAAAATGCCGCTGTAAATGTCATTTTGACTTTAGAATGACTTCAAATAACGGTAGCTTGCTACGTATCAGTAATTTTGTTAACAAATAATATTGTAAAATTGTTGTAACTAAAAATTTCTACAAGCTTGATCTAACTCAATGTGATACGTATCTACCTGTATTTTTATTCAAGGATATTTCTTTCCAATTAATAGTATCTATTTTAACATAGGCATTAAAAATATTTAATCCAAAAGACTTTAAAAGAAAAAAATATTTTTATATCTTCACAGAATAATTAGAGGAATCATATTATAAAAAATCATAGAAAAAAATTCATTTAAAAAAAGTTAATATTAAAATTTTCGAAGCACCTTCATCTGGACAATAATTTGAAGATTAACTTGCAAGTGAAATTCATCTTATAATTATGCCTTTAGTCTCGTCCGGATAGATGAACTATGTAGTCATGTTTTCTTGTCTACATTTTCAACAAAGTTCACAAAACTTAAGATCGAAAAGGTGCGTTCACATATGTCTCGTAGCGCTGTACTTGTGCTCCCTCAATGTGTTTAAATAATCTCGACAAATTGTCTGTAAAAAATTACTCATATAGCGGAAGGGAAAAAGCTCGTAAAGCCTTGGATATGAGAGCTACATCCGGATGAAACTAAAGGCATAATTAAGATCAAACTTCACTTTGCAAATTCGTTTAATCTTCAAATTATGTCACAGTCTCGTCCGAATGGATAAACTATATGTAGCTGTTCAAAGGACGATTTGTCGTTAAGTGTCTATCTAAAATAATTTTGGCTTACAAGGGAAGTTTGCGAACCCGAAAATTCAGAAAAATCTGACTCTTGGTGTAAAAGTAGAGCAGTTCATCCGTAGCATGAAACAATTTTTCGTTGGTGCTCAATTCCGTTTTGAAGGGATGAAACCA